GCGTCGCTTGGATTTTATTTCGCCTTAATGAATGCACTGCTCTCAATCGGAAGTCACGTTTATTCAAGTGTAACTGATTTAATTTAATGTGTTTACCTTTTGTCAGGCCTCTTTGAGCTCCCCTCCGCCTTACCCGCCAAGTTTATATCGACGCAGTGTTTACTTTCATTTGATCACACGGGCCGGTGAATTTAAAAAGTATCCCTGACCCATTTTCTCCCTCTTCTCATCATTTTCTCCATCCTAATTTCAATCTCTGGGTTTTTTTCCTCCCCTCTTCCTTGTAACCTCGTTTACGATCACATTTCTGGCAGAATAAACACAAAATCTTTCAACTCGTAATGGTGAACTGCCAAAAATCACTTTACGGCAAGCGTACAAAGCAGTTAATGATGCGCTTTTGAGAATATTCCAAGAGAAATTGGTTTCTATTGCAGTTGAAGATGGAGTCCACACACTGGCATGTCCCTTTTGTCCCTGCAGATTGGAGGCAATAGGGCAGTCATTGAGAGAAACAAAAAAAATGATAAGACTAAAATGAGCAGTTTTAGCAGACATTGAGGAGTGTCTGCAGGGCAGGAAAGAAGTGTGAATACCGCAGCAGTCTGCTTGCTCAGCGGTTCTTTTCTTCTTCCTCGCCACCCTATAACGACTCTCAAGGGCGATTTTCAGTCTCCCTCTGCTTTTGTCTAAGGAAAAGCGGACTATTAGAATGACTTTGTATGCGTTTTGCCTCCCTCCTTTTAGCTAAACAGACAGGCTCGTGACAGGAAAGCGGTATGCGCGTGCGTATTTGAATGGGTTTGTCGAGTCACCTTGCAGAAGTCACGATGGCGGCACGCTGCTCGGTAACATGATGATACAGTCGAACTTCCGAAGTCGAAACGCTAGCCGTTGCTCTTCAGGTTTGTTCGCATTCCTCATTATTTCGCTTTGGGATTTATTTGAAACCTTTAATTACGGAGTCCACACCTGTTCATTATAAATGCCATATTTCCAATACAGACGGTAAAAAAAATAAAACATTCTTTATGTTAATTAATGATTGAGAGCCTAATCGTTTTTTACATTGTTGTACATTAGTTCCACCTTCACTCGCAATTTAATTTTTAATTTGTTATGTGACTGCGCTTGACAGTCAAATCACCTTTCCAAGTAACCTGTTCCAGGAAAACACAAGCAAATTGGAATGAATTGTAGAAAACATTTCTGTCTGAATTTTGGGAAGGCTTGGAACGGATTAGGGCATTTACATGGAAAACGCGTCTCTACTTAAAAATTTTTGTAGTTCATAAATTTATTCCAGAACCAATTAATTTTTTGTTCTACTTCTTCCATTCATAACTTTGCTGCTGTGAATTGGGAATTTCTCCATTGCGAGACTAATAAAGGTTTTCTTATCTTATCTTATCTTAATTTCGTAAGTCGAGGTACCACTGTATTGTGTTGCACCTTCTGATGTGTGCACCTTGGCCACTAGGGGGTGTCGTAAAACACCCACACCTAAATATAATACACAAAATGGATGTGTAACTGTTTGTGCTTGTGCAGCTGCTGCGCGCGACGTAGTAAGGACATTGTGGATGCCGATTGGCTGTCGGTGAGGGAAAGCCGTGGGAAAATTCACATTTGCGAATCCTAGCGAAATGGGCAAAGCAGCTAATTTTTCGCTTCAAAAGTTTCATCCCGACCGCACAAACTACATTGACTGTAGATGGGTTTTCAACTTAATTAATATTCCACAAACACAGTTTTCATCTGAATCCTGTGTTTAGACTAGAGGAGTCTAATGAAACATATTCATGCAAAGAAAACGTTTTGACTTGACTTCCACTTTAAGCTAGCAGGCTCTCAGAAGGCTTGGTGATGTGATTTGGTTTCCATACACATTGGGTGCTTCTCTTTGTTTGATGTTTAGCTTGACAGTAACCCTCAAGTGGGAGTGGAAATGAATAGCTCGAAGCAAGCACACTTGAACGGATGCAAAGATGAACTTGAATGCACGACGCCGGTCTCAATCAAATCTACGGAGATATAACTGATACTGCTGCTAATTGTTGCTGACAATTAACTATTCAGACACGGGCGCTGGACAAAAGTATCTGGACAACACTTTCAAATGCCATCATGCGTATTGTACTGTGAAATTCTTGAAGGCGTCGGAGAATTGAGGTATCACAGAAACGTGCCAACGTTTTAAGAACATCGGCTGGCCTGCCCTTGTCTGTTAATATTCCTTCTGTCTCTCGTTTGTCACTTTTTCTTCTCCCAAGATAGCGACTTTCGGCCCTCCCCTCCCTTATCGCTCTCGCGCAATCAGCCTTTTCTGCCACGCCGGACAGCTAGACAAATGATTTTGTCACTCGGGCGAGGTGTGGGGTAATTTTTCGGTGAGTGCGGCGCTTCAGAAAGGACTCCCTGCATTGAAATTAGAGGTTGTCAAATGCTACACGTCTCCACTGATAGCCTAGCACGGCCCCTTATGTTAATGTGGCATTTCAGCAAGAGGAAATAGAAAGTGGGGCTGCAGGGAAGGTGGTGTTGTGCTCGTAGTGGTTTTGGCACTTTTGTTTTTTTTTGGGGGGGGTCCAAATAAAACCATTTAAAATTAACATAAAGATAGGTCGGTTAAAAAACAAAAAAAAAATATATATATATATAAATTCAAAAAATGTTTATTCCAATGGTGAATTTTGCAGATCACTTTCTTTCCATCACCCCCTTAGCGTTATCGTTGCAAATATTTTGGAATCGTTTCATTTCAGAAAGAGTCAACGCGCTGTGCCGCCTTTTGCAAACACGCAGAACCGAGTGAACGTCTGTCCCACCGTGTGCACACCGGCGATCAATCATAACAGCCACCGAAAATGGCTTTGTCATTTTGCCCCTCTGCAGTCGGCGTTTTTATGGAAAGGCTTGTCGTAAATCTGTTCAACAAGGATGTACATAATGTTGCAAACCTTGGACTGGCATGAAATTAGATACCTTAGAATTTTGTCCTTAAGATGAACCTATGGCGGAGGACTCTTGGTTTATGATGGCAACATGAGCCAAATTGGTACGTTCGTCAGAAACATGCTATACAAAGTCTATGCTAATGTGCTTGTAAAGTCAGGATTACTGTAAACATTTATATCAAAAACATTTCCAAGACACAAATATAAAACAATTACAGGAAAAAGAGTAAAAACAGTGAGGCAATTAACTGATGCAGAATTTTGTCCGTGTGGAATTGATTGTTGATTAATCACTTTAAAATGTCTCCGCAACGTGACTGCGGCTAGAAAAGATGCGCTGTTGATTCAGTCTTTGCTAGTTTGCTCTCTACCCAAGAACCTTTAACTCTTGGACTGCAGCTATAGAATATTTTCAGAATCAAATATGCACAGATTATTTGCAAAAAGTAACCTGAAAATAATCCGTTTTGCATTAACATTGCGAATCAAACACAGTATGTGCATGTGACACTTTGGCACGCCATTTTCACTTTGGGCTCTACGGACTACTTGCCGGGGCATTCCAAAAAAATTTGACTAGCGGTGGTAGGAACTATAAAATGAGCTGACATTGATACGTTGCTTTGTGCTGGTGATCGTAGACATGCTGTTGCATTGCAAGAGTCGTGATCACACAACATATTTCTTCATATCGCGAATGATTAAAGTAACACTTGACAGTGTTGAAAAATGATCCATGCAAAGCTGCTAGGCAGAGATTTCAACTTATTTTGTAATCGAGTTATTACTTTTATCAGCTCAAGTTCAAGCCCGTGCGGTGAGTCGCGCTGCAGCGTTGTCAAACTCCTTTCCTCGTGGCGCATTAACAGCCATACAGACAACAATGGGAAAGTGACCACTTCTAAACAAATCTTAAAGAATAAAAAAAGTGGGAAGGTGACGAATCTGTATGTACAACAAAAAAAAATAAAACTAAATGACTTGTCATATGACAGCACTCGTCGCTAATGCATTTTGATGCACAATTTTGCTCGCTTACAAATAGCAATAAAAAGGCATTTTAAGGCTTAATGGAGGCCTGCACGCTATTAGGTTGGGTGACTGACTGAGAGAATTGGTGTACCTGAGCGATGACCTCATATGGGACGGTCTGCGACACAAAGCGGGTGTGTCCCAGAGGTGTTATCCACTAATACTGCAGGCCAGATGTTCGCGTCCGTCTGTTGACAAGTCCATCAATCACATAATCTGAAGCAGGAATTCCCCCCGCAAAGGAACGCAGTGGGTAATTCCGCTAGTTGTTTGGGGGGGATTATTTCGATATATAACTGTAACCGTAGAAGTGGCCTCCAAAATTGTATTACTTTAACGTTTTCCAGATTTCCCATCCCATGCGTATGGGACAATTATGTCAATCTGACCCACCTTCCAAATGAGGTGCAGTGCAAGGTTAAATCTTGGAGGCGAGTAGGAGGTACTTTTAAATCGTATTTGTAGCGGAGTATTTCGGTTCCCGCCGCTATTGTTCATACAGAGTTCTTCCAACTGATGTGATTGCATGTGATCATTCAAGTCGATGCCAAATCCTCCACACACACTGCACGGTTGGGCTCCAAATGGCTTAAAGGGTGGCACAACAAGCAAGCGCATGTGACCAAAATGTGTGTCACTTAGTAATGGGTGTTGCAACTGCAGACATTGATCCCCCTCACCACTGTGGCCTGCTCGCATAAACTGACCCCCCGCCCCCTGCAGATTACTGTTTGACTGCGTGTCCTTTTAGCCTGTCGTTATGCAGCCCGTTCGTCTCCATTGTGTACAGCTGCTGCTCTGAATAATTGCTAGCTGTCAAAACCTGGCCAACGTTGGTTAGTCCCCCCGTCAAACTGTTTTTCTTTTGTTTCAACAAAGCTTTACGTTAACGCTTTGCCTCAAAGCTCACAAGAATCAATAGGAGTGGCACATCGGATACCAAGTTAAAAAAAAAAAATGCACGCGTGTACTTCCAATTGACTGATCGCTCTTTTTGTGTTTGTTTTTCAGAGATCAACAGAGTGCGCAAACACATGTACAGCGACACAGTCAATGGCCTTGTGGACAGACGCCCCCTGGAGCTGCCTGAGCCTGTGGGACCCATGGTCTACCTGCAGGAAAAACTGTTTGTGCCTGTCAAAGACTACCCAGACGTAAGTACCGACATGTCTTCTCTTGTATTGCGGTTTGCGAGGATGTAAGCCGTGAACCAGTTGAGGCTGTTGATGAGGACTGGGGATCGCAAGTGTTGGTGCTGCCGTTAAAGGAATCTCTGCGCCGCGTATCCATCACTTTACGGTCACTCGCATCAAGAGATGATGTCAGGGTTTTCTTTGTAATCTCTGCAACTTGCTCCAGGAAAGGAATAAACGCAAAGGAGGGGATGAAAGATAAGAAGCATTGAGGAGAGAAGTGCATGACCTCAGCCAGGCCTTGGGCTGCATTTTTCCCCTTGAGAAACTTGATAAAGGTCTACCCGAGGACTGGCTTGAATTAGTTTTGCTCAAGTCGAACCTCTGGGCCTTCCATAGCATGTAACGTAGAACCTTAAGGGTCATTTATGCCGCCAGTTATCCCCATCGGAAACAATGGAATTCCAGAGTTAATACTGATGTCAAACCTTTATTAATGATACAGGCAATGCAAGTTTTTAACATTTGTAATTGTCATGTACAGTGTAAGTGTAATAATAAATTAGTTGCTATCCAACTCAGTTTAGGATCGGATATGTAAAAGTATATATCACCCGTTGACTTTTACACAGAGGGCAACCATTCGCTGCTTTCGGTGGTCAGCTGACCGTCATGCGTTTCCACTTTTCTTTGCTGCACTGCAACGAGCAGCTCCCGTTAAGTCGGCGTTGTGTTTACAAGCTGCCAGGAAAGCTACTAAATTAATTAGGCTTCCCCCCACCTCCCCTGGTGCCTGAGATGATTCAGTGCTGACCTTACCAGACACACGCAGTCATTCAAAAGGACAGAGAACACAACAGGACTGACGCACCTATCACTCGCATGCTTTGTCAATGTCATTTTAGTTTGCGCACGTGCGTTTGTTACGTCCCCAAGAAAAGAGAAAACGCCAGATAGCTTTGATATAATTAGGTGTGGTGATTGGAACCAGGGGAAATCAGCGGTAAGTCTTAATGGAATTATGGGTTCTATTCTCAGAGAATATACCTTGAGCTTCCTTCCACATGTGCACTAGCCGTGGTAGCCCGTGTACAGTGTCTTAGCAATCGGTTTTTTTTTTTTAATATCAGGGTGAAAACTGAGAGGCCAGAAATGGTGGCGTGGACGCAGAAAATTCTTATCTCCATCTGGCCAGTGCTTAGGGAAACGGTAATGATGATTGGGACCTGGGACCAGGCAACGTTTTCCACATCTCAAATTTCCAACGGATTTCCCAGATTTCCCCTCATCCTTAAAGGCCCGTTGGGGGGAAAAAAGTGGGGAATGGGGATGTCATTTTATGATTTTCTCCCTCACTCACCTCACATCACTGGTGTTAAAACTCGGGTCTTTGGTGGTGGTCCTTTTTTTTGTCCGGCCCCCGATATATACTAAAAACTTTTGGCAAGGCCCGGAGTGCTATTTACCAAAAAAAAAAAAAAAACAGGGCTGGGGGTGGGGTTAGAGTTGACAGTGTGTTGGAATCATAGCTGGTGAAAAAGTGGGGGTCGTGTGAGTCTACAGACACAAATGTAAATGTGCATCTCAAGATCACCTTGAGCAGAAAGCCTTGAAGTAGCTTTAAAAAAAAGCATTCAAACAACATAATTGCATAATTGTTCTGTAAAACGCTTGTTAGAGCTACAGTTGAAGTTAAAAAAAAAAAAAAAAAATCTTCCAAGTGTCTTGCTTCCCGTATTTTATTAGCCCTGTAAAGGCTCCAGAAGGTCAAAATAAATTCTCGGGAAAAAATATTCTCAAAAGTTCACCAAACCATCAATTTGTGCGACGCCACGCGAAATGTCAGCAAATCTCCGATGGCCCCACGGAGAAACGCGATAAGAACGGAAAGGTTGTGCTTGCCTTTAACAATATGAACACTGTGATTAAAATTACACACACATTTACAAATGCCAACTTAAATACATTCATTAAACAAAACATTTATACAGTACCTATAAGCCGCCTTTTTGGGTGACGGTATTGCTCTGTAAGCACCTTCCGTATTCCGCTCCATTACCTGTCTGTCAGGCGTTCACAAAATATGAGCAGTTTTTACGATGGCGACAGTCTGAGCCTGGAATGAACCAATTAATTTTACATTATTTCCTTGGGGGAGCTACATTTGGAGGTTCCACTGTATTACTCGATGACACTTGACATATTAAGTTGCGCTCTCCACCTGCACGTCATTTAATTGTACATAATGAAATTGTCCCAGTCTGCCTGTTTGTGTCTCGTCAGGCGTCTCTCTCATCCGCCGTACTTAAAAGGCAGCAGTTTTGCAGCCGCCATCAGCGGTGCGCTGCAGCTCTTTTCGAGCGTCGCCGTGGCGACCGCATCTTGACTGACAGCTCAGTCACAGGCTATCTGATAGCGTCCACCTTCAATTAAATGCTATCTGGCGCGGCGGTGCCGCTCCTCTTCCAAGCGCACGCTCGCGTACACACGGGCAAGCCGGATGACAGATCGGAACGTCATTTACGCTGACCTTCAAGCATCTGATAGGATGGGCGTCTTTTAAAATGGCACCCCTTTATTGCCTTTGTGTATGTATTAGCTGTTCAGTGAACGTCCAGACTGAGGGCGGGTCACCTTAGGTTCAAAACACTTATGTCCAGAATGCTTTTACTCCTTTTCTGATGCACTAGGTGTCCACCAATCACCTTAATAGAAATGTACCAGTCTCAAGCAGCAATTAACTGAGTACACTTAAAGGGGCATCTTGACTAAATTATCCTCCTCCAAATGGTGAAAATAAATCAAAAGTACCCGAATTCAATGGCTGTCCATATCCCAGGAGTTATTGCCGGGCCTGAAAAAGTATTCCAATTTGATGCCACCGATGTTCATGCTCAGGGATTTAGTGTACTGAAAGAGTTGTGTTCCACCGGCGGTGTAATTTATAGGTTAAGTTATGACATAGCGTCGTGTGATTACACAATACACTCCAACTTAATTTATGACTCCGACACCGGAAAAAAAAGCGAACAAAACTCTGTACTGTATATTTATGCATGTAGAAATGCAACTTGAGTGCCTCACAAGTCTTTACTTCTACCTCAGTGCTCAAAGTGGGGAGAGGGGGTGGGGGGGGGGACATAAGCAGCCAGGTTGGATGAAGAAGACCGGATGTCGTGCACCTTGTTGCGTCGCCGCTGCGAAATTACTCGGCCACCTCCCAGCAAAGGGAAAGTCATTAAGCTCGTTCCCGTGGGTGGTGTCATCGCTTATCATTCTGGCAGCTGGTATCCTTTTGACCCCCCTTAAGTCATTACCGGGCTTCCAAATGTGCTGCCTAACATCTCACCTCTGTCCACTGCCAGAGAGGCTGTGGAATTTCAGTGGTGGATGGTTGACTCTCGAATAGCGTGATTGGAGAACAGTATCACCAAATTGTGTCGTGAGCGCTGTTGTCTGTTCTTTTTTTCTGAGAGATCAAGTCACAAACTGGTAAGGGAAGGAAATTATTTCTCTTTCCGCACCTTTTTTTTTTTTTTGTCCACACGTTACCAACATCTTTGTTATGACAGTCAGAAATAGTTTTGAGTGAATAGTTGAATGGAAATGTAATACTTAATTGTCTGCCCACTTTTAAAAGGTAATAGTTGTGTGATGAGCTCAGAGAGATTTGACTTGCAAAAAAAAAAAGTTCACCATTAGTTCTCTTACGTCAGTCTCACTTTAATGTCAAAGTTTGGCAAGCAAGCGGTGAACTCGGCTCGCGTCTTCGCTCCCAAACCAGAGCCGATGTCAATCTTGAACGCTTTCCATTTTTCCTGCCTATTTCCACTATGCCTGCAACCCCACAATAAATCCAAACAGAATTATCAAAGGAGGCCACGGATTAGGTGTTAAATGCTGGATGTGCTAAAAAAGAGAGCTTTGAAGTCTACGGGGCTTTCAGGCGGAAATGTCACCGTTGGAATCAAAACAAAATTTACCTTCCCCCCCTCCCCCATCACACGAGCCCTCATGCCCTCAGACCTTTCATGTAGCTCACACTGCTGCAGTTTTGTCCACTCTTCATCTCCATTTTCCTCTGTCCCATGGAAATGTGTCAGTCGCTGTGGGTTTGGGGCCTCAAAAGATGAATGTGCGACCGGAGGCGGGAAGCCAGCAGGTGGCGTGTGAGCTTCTGTGTTGTGAGTGACCCCGACGACTCCCAGGTACCGCTCCTCAGTTGCTGCAAGCTATGAATAGAGCAACACTGTTCTCCACCTTGAAACATGATTGGAGTTCTATGTAGGAGAGATTCCTATGAGCAGGTGTCAGCACTTAACAGTTAAAAATAGGTGCAACCTGATAATTGAGTGCATGCTTTATAAACCACTCCCAAATATTGTGGCACCACCAACTAAACGGAAATCAAAAAAAGAACCAAACAATTCGCTGGTAATCCACTATTGGTTAATTTTACAGAGAAGTGACAGAAGTAATGAGTAATAAGTAATATTACTTTTGAAGGAATTGGAAAAATGAACTTATCCAAACTCTACCCCGACAACTAGGAACGTTCGGAGGGCCAATGGTGGTTTGGACTTGTGCAGGGCGATATGGAAATAAAAATCTATCACGGTAACCCAATATATTTTCAATTATTTTCCAAAAAAAAAAAAAAATCATACAGCACACTATTTCTGCTTATCCATTCCCTTTTTATTTTATTTTGAAGTGACATGAAAACAGACCTGTGTCACATGAGAAATGCCTCCAGTCGTGCTGCTGAGAATGCTGGATTAGTTAACGGACAGCTCGATGGGATCATTGGTTGAATACCGGACTCTAAAACTACTCGATAGCTGTAGCCCATATTGAGACATCAGAAAGCAAGGAAGTGAGGTGACATCCTTTGGACTAAGTGTCAATTCTACCTTTTGTCTGATACGTTGATAATGCGGTCCTCATTTCCATAAACCCATGAGACCAGCTAATGTGTCATTGGTATTCTCCGCACAGCCCCTCTAAGCCCTTCACGCACA